GATCTGGAAGGTTCATACTGGGTCAGGAGGTCACTGATGTATTTTGGTCCTAAACCATTCAGAGCTTTATAGACCAGCATCAGAACTTTAAAGTCTATCCTCTGACGGACAGGCAGCCAGTGTAAAGACCTCAGAGCTGGACTGATGTGGTCCACTTTTTTGGTCTTAGTGAGGACTCGAGCAGCAGAGTTCTGAATGAGCTGTAGTTGTCTGACTGATTTTTTAGGTAGACCTGTAAAGATGCTGTTACAGTAATCAAGCCTGCTAAAGATGAATGCATGGACTAGTTTTTCCAGGTCCTGTTGAGACATCAGATCTTTTATCCTTGAAATATTCTTGAGGTGATAGTAAGCTGACTTTGTTATTGTCTTAATGTGTTTTTCTAAGTTTAGGTCTGCATCCATCACTACACCCACATTTCTCGCCTGGTTTGTGGTTTTTAGGTGTATAGATTGAAGTTCTCTGGTGACCTGTAATCGTTTTTCTTTGGAAAACACACTCCTCATTCTGAACCTACACAACTCAGAGAAGAACACACACCTGAGGACAGTCAGGAAAAATGGGTGAAGAACTTTTCAGACCGGAATCTCACTGAACCTCAAAAGAAATTATTAGCCAAAGGACTCAATTTTGCCATTTCTCCGCAACAGTTGCCCATAGTGGACCTCATCACAGCCACAGAATCTGCCATACGGATTAATAAATTATCACAGACAGAAGCAGAGCAAATCAGGATGAAAGTCTCAGCCACGCTCTCCAGTGCCAAAGTCCCTCCATCTAACCTCACAATACAAGAAAAGAAGGCCGTTGCTTCCCCGATCAAAGACCACAAAATCATTATACTACCAGCTGATAAGGGAAGGTGCACCGTGGTCCTAAACACAACGGATTACCACACAAAGATCACTACTCTCCTCAGTGACAACAACACCTACGAAGCTTTAAAGCAAGACCCCACAAGCAGCTACAAAAAGAAAGTTATAGCTTGCCTTCAGGACCTTGAAAGGGACAAAATCATTGACCGCCTCACATATCACCGCCTTTACCCAGGGGATGCCATACCCTGCATTTACAGATTTCCTAAGATCCATAAAGAAGGTGTCCCACTCAGACCTATTGTCAGTAGCATCAACTCAGCCACTTACAACATTTCGAAACACCCTACTACCATCCTTGCACCTCTTGTGGGGAACACCCCACATCACATCAAGAGCGCCACCGACTTCACCGACAAGGTCCAGAAACTTACCCATGTTTATTATATTTCATGTTTTTAGTAGTGATTTTAGAAGACCACAAGCAAGTTGTGCAGTAAACATAGTAGTCAGCTGGAGGTATGTTAATTTAATATATTTGACATTAAAAAAAGGATATTTATGCACTGCAATCTAATTTATATTGTATTGCCTCCTGCAGGACAGGCTGCACACATGGATTTGTCACTGTCTTTTACTCCTTCTCCTTTTCGTTGCGTTTTTCTCCCAAGTTAGTTTTAGAGTAGGGCCACCTTTTAAAACTGATTTCTTTTTATTCAGGGTTTGTTTTTATTTCTACTGGGCTGGTGCAATATTAGCCGGGCAATGTGCAATCCCTGAGCTGGGCTCTTACCTTAGGGAGATTAGGTCTCGCAGAGGTGCTCCGTGTGGATTTGCTGTGATTGTAGTGCTACCAATTATTGCCTGAACTAAAACACTTAGTGCATGCAATAAGTGTTCTGTTGGGCTCATATTTATTTGGGGTCGATTTGTTTCTTTTAAAGCAACGAGCATCTGGGCTTGCCGGGGGAGAGCAAGCCATCAGGTGATAGTTGCATTGCTGGCAGGTTGCACCAGTAAGAGTATATTGTGGTCATTAGTGACCTTTTTATTGTGATGTTTTAGGCGTATTGCAAACCCTTTTTCTTTAAAATAATAAACTTTAACGTATCCTGGCTGATATTGACCCTCTTGTCCCGTTTATTCTTGGCTCGTTCCTGCAAGAAATTTGGGCCTGAAAGTTTGCACGAGTAGTATAGAGGCCCCTGGCGGTTACTCTGTAGCTTTTACTCGCTACATATATACCAACAAGATAGTGTACATCACTGTCACAACAGCATTTGTTTTTCATTCAAAGGTTTTATGCCTTTTCCTATAATACCTGGTGGGCCGGTCTCTAGTCAAAATGCCTGGGCTGATTTTTTGTCCCGGTCCAGCCCTGCCTCACCCAGGAGGACCTACACTGTCCCTTTTGATGTGGAGGAGCAGCGGTTCTACTTTGAACCTCTCCTGGATGGCCGAACACCTCATCCTATCTCTAAAGGAGAGTCCAGCCACCCTTCAGAGGAAGCCAGTTTCCACCGCTTGTATCCGCAATCTCGTCCTTTTGGTCACTGCCCACAGCTCGTGACCATAGGTGAGGGTAGGGACGTAGATCGACTGATAAATTGAGAGCTTTGCTTTTACACTCAGCTCTCTCATTACCACAACAGACCAGTACAGTGTCCACAGCACTGCAGCCACAGCACCGATCCGTCTGTTGATCTCCGGCTCCCTTCTCCCGTCACTTGTGAACAAGACCTCGAGATACTTAAACTCCTCCACTTGGGGCAATAACTCGTCCCTGACCCGGAGTGGGCACTCCACCCTTTTCCGGCTGAGAACCATGGCCTCAGATTTGGAGGTGCTGATTCTCATTCCCACCGCTTCACACTCGGCTGCGAACAGTTCCAAAGCGAGGTGGAGGCCATCACCCGATGAAGCCAACAGAACCACAAAAAGCAGAGATGA